GAAGAGAAGACATGAACTCTTCTTTCCATATTAGATATGACAAAGGTTTAACAGTCAGCACTGCCTGGAAAATCAGCTGCTTCCCAACAGGCTCCTTCACTCCAAAAGCTCAGGAGAAGCACAAAGAAAAAACCACAGACCTGTTACCAGGACCCTGCTTGGTCCCCGTTGAGCCAGGCTTTGCCTCTCCGCTTTCCACGACAGAGGAGCTCCAGAAAGGCTTTGAGTTACACTCTCGGGCGTCCATCCACCAAATCCCGAAAATAAATGACTTTATTTGATCATCAAAAAGCACAAGCACAGCTTCACAGACTACACACACTCTCAGCATCATTTGGGGTTTTTATGGATTCACAGGGGCAGATTTTCACTCCATCCATCTGGCTTTTGATGTGCAAAGAGCCTTGGGGACCCCGGGCTGAAGTGTTAACCCAAAACGAGCAACACCAACAGGTAAACTCAATATTTTTGGAGTCTCCTGAAAACGCAAAATTAAAGAGTAAGAACAAAAATACAGAATGGAAATATACTACTATTTTTTTTCTTTTTTTTTTTTTTTTTTCAGAAAGGAAATCAGTGCCACAGCTTGCCAAGCCCCGGGTGCCCGTATCAGCAACTAAAACTAAACTAACGCCCAAAATAATACAGTAAGTGTTTTTTATATTGATCAGCAATAATTTAGGAGGAAAAAACCCCAAGTTTTTGTTAGCTCCTCTAAAAGCTGGAGGTGCAGGAGAAGCCATCGGGACTGCTCGGCTCTGCCCACTGCGCTTCTTCCCCTGAATGCTGAGCCAGGACCATGTGGCAGAGGAACAGTGACACCAGCCCCAGGACCCCCCCAAGTCTTTACTGTCGCAGGCAGGACGAGTTGGGCTAGGGGAGACGGGAAAAATCAAGAAAAAAAACCAGCAAGATAGGAAAAATAATGCTCCAGCAGCCAAAATCATTGCCACCCTCTCCTGCCCATCCATCACGGCAACTCAGCACAGCCCAAAACCTTAGAAACTCCCGCTGCTGCGCAGAGGTGTGCGAGAGTGTGTTCTTACAGAAAATTAAACCAGGCCTCATGTAATTCCAGCTGTCGCCAGCCCATCCTCTGTTTTAGGGAGCAGCCTGACAGTTATTCAGCGTCAGCTGCGGATTGTGAGCCAGTGGCCAGGAGGTGCAGGTTTCCCAGCGGATCCGGGATATCCAGGTCAGTGCGGGGGGTTTCAGGCTCACCCTGATCTTACCTTGGCACCAGGCGGCCGTGAGTGGGCGATGGCAAGGATAAACGTTGGTCCAGCGCAGCTCCAGTAGCCCTGCAAAGATTGGATTGCAGGTGTAATGCATCATGCTTTCTTATCATTGACAGCTCTGCTGCAGGGCAAAAATACAACTACAAGGAAAAGCAATAAATAAATCTTGGCAGCCTGAACTTGTTTCCTAGTTATTTCCAAGAAAAAAAACAAAAACAAACCAAAAAACCCCACCCACCTTTAGAAAGCCAGGTCAGATGATACTCCAAATCTCCATCCCTGTTTCAAAACAGGACAGGAAAAGAAAAAGCCAGGAGAGTGCTGGGGGAAGGAATTTGCTGGGAGGGCTGCAAGGTAAGTTCATTCCCATCTTCCCAGGTAAGAGAGAATTACAAGGGGAGGAGGAGCCCCCTTTTCTCCCCCCAAAGCAAACACTCCCCAGGTGGGAGCCTGGATCACTCCTGTAACTCAGTTTTGTCACAGCGGGGGATGCCAGCAAGCCAGCTCTGACACCAGCTGAGATGGCCAGCCAGAATAAAAAAAAACACTTTACTTTCCATTCAGACACAAGTGTTTCTTTTTCCACAAGTCTGGCTGGTCGCTGGAGGGGCACTTTGTGTCTTCTGATTTGTAAAGAACATTATCCAGAATACCTGAAACAAAGAGAGCTGACCCAACAGGGGTCAGAGTCAGGGCCATCGAGCCCCGTGGCTGCTCTGCAGCAGCCAAACGTGGGAATGGTACAAGCATAGGGTGAGCACACAGCGATGCTTCTTCAGGGTGCTCACCCAGTTGCTGACAATTTGCACCCAGAAGTGTCTTTGTATTACCAACCTTGATTTTTTCCACCCACAGTCCCTTTGTGAAACCACATTCACAGCTCCTGGTGGCAAAAGCTTGCACAGCTCAGCCAGGGGTGTGCAAAGCAACCTCTTCCTTTCGAGCTGGCCACTCGTGAGTTTAATTTGATGCTCCTCCAGTATCTAAATATTTGGAGAAACCATGTCCAATACTCGTGGTTTTACAGACCTTACAAATCCTTTCCCAGCTCCATTCCCTCCCCAGCTTGAGAAACCTCATCCATCGAGTCATAGAATCACTGAATCATTAAGGTTGGAAAAGACCTCAAGGATCAGCGAGTCCAACTGTCAACCCCACACCACCCAACCCACTAACCCGTGTCCCCACGCACCACATCTACACGTTTCTTGAACCCCTCCAGGGATGGTGACTCCACCACTGCCCTGGGCAGCCTGTTCCAATGCCTCATCACTCTTGCAGTGAAGACATTTTTTCTAATATCCAGCCTAAACCTCCCCTGGCGCAACTTGAGGTCATTTCCTCTTGTCCCATCACTTGTTACTGTAGAGCAGAGCCCAGCACCCACCTCACTGCACCCTCCCTTCAGGCAGCTGTAGAGAGTGATGAGGTCTCCTCTCAGCCTCCTCTTCTCCAGACTTAACCCCCCCAGCTCCCTCAGCCGCTCCTCGTCAGACCTGTGCTCCAGACCCTTCCCCAGCTTCGTTGCCCTTCTCTGGACCTGCTCCAGCCCCTCAATGTCCTTCTTGTGGTGAGGGGCCCAAAACTGACCCCAGGATTCAAGGGATTCAAGGTTTGGCCTCACCAGTGCCGAGTACAGGGGCACAATCCCTGCCCCAGTCCTGCTGGCCACACCATTGCTGGTGCAGGCCAGGAGTCATTCCTCCCACAGAAGCTGTGCTAAACCTTTCATCAACCTTCTCCACACCTAGCCTAACTCTACGATAACTTATTTCTCTGGACACCTCAGTGGGAGGAACACTGACTTATTGCCTGCCCCATGCTGAAGTTACATGAACTGGAGCTTGCTTGTGGCCAAGCTTCACCTCCTCATCACAAAGCTGAAGCTTTGGGCTGGCGGTTGCGTTAACATCCCAAGAGGAACAGGCATCGCCTGCCAACACATCAACAGATCGGGTCAACTCGGTTTCTCCCTCTGGCCCTCACGTCCCAAGTCAGATACCTTCTGTTCAATATTTCCTCCTTCTTTTCTCTCTCTCTTGTTTTTCTGCAGGCTTATTGGCAGAGGCTAGACCCAAGAGGAACATCAACCCGCACAGGCCAGCACCAGCTTATTTGATAAAGGGTGAGTGTCCTGCACCTGGGGAGGGAGATAGCGCAGGCCAGCACCAGCTTATTTGATAAAAGGCGAGTGTCCTGCACCTGGGGAGGGAGATAGCGGCAGGTCTGAAAATGAAGAGAAACAGTCACTACCACAGGCTGCAAAGTGCAGACTCTTAAGGAAATTGCAACTCAAAGAAACCACGATATCTACAATTGCGTGAAGGTGTCTTGAATCAGCCCTGCAGCTTCCTGCAAAGCTTTTACTGGAATCAGAGGCACAGGCAGGAGCATCCAACAGCCCAGATGTCCTCTTGTAAGGGAACTTGGGGCACTCTCCTCATCCTGCATTGAGGCTGAACACTCACCAGCACGCACTCGGAGGAGCCGAACGCCCTCCATTCATTCAGACAGGTCAGATGTCAGAGGACACGACCCTGCCGGGAATGATACGTGTGTTCTCAATCCTTGGGATGACATGAGTCAAAAAGGTGTGAGCATTAAAGAGACGAACAACAGGTCAGGTAAGAAAAATACTGCCTCTTATTTAATGTTTAAAGACATCAGTAAACAAACAGTACAGACAGAGGCTAAACCCCTCCCGCCTCCCCTAACGGCACACTCCAAACCACGACAGGTACCAGGTGACAACTCTGGAGGAGAAGCAGATTGAGATTTGAGGGATGGCCAAGAGAAATCTCTGCTGTGTGAGGGCAAGACAGGACTTGGAGGAAGCAGCTTCCCTCACCCATGAGCAGAGCAATGTCTCCTGGGCACAGTCTAAGAGGGAATGGTTGCCACTCCGAGCAAACAGCCCAAATCTCTTGCTAACACACAGAAGGGCCGTGTGTGAACTTGAAAAACCCAGCTGGAAGCTACATTAGAGGTGCAAGACACACTACGTACTGACCTTGGCAGCCAAACCTCTATTCCATGGTGATTTTAGCCTCTCGAAGAATAAAGAAAAGGAAGTTAGGTCCAGCTCGGCAAGTGTTACAGTACTCATTTGTGAATGCAAAACTGAGTCTGGGGGAACAAACAAGACTCTGCTCTGCATACATTCGTCCATCCTGCTCCATCAAGCTGCTCCCTGCTGCAGGGACACTCCCGACCCCTATCCTATGTCTTCTCGAACAGTTTTCCTTGAGGTGTGGAGCATCAGACGACTAAGAAGGGACATCAGGAAGCAACTCTCAGTGCAGGCTTCAGAGGACAGTCGACTGGGTACCTGAGCGGAGAGCCGGGGAGAACAGAATGTATCAGGTGTTGCTGCTGAAGAGAGGCAGAGATCACAGGCACAAGCGCTTCAGCTCCCACCTTGCTGGCAGAAGCCTTCATGGGAGTCACAGGGGTGACTGAACTAGCGCAGGTCAGGCTCTGATGGCAGTCGCGCAGCTGCCAGCCAGCACCCAGCACAGATTTGAGCGCTACTTGAATTTCCATTTCCCAGAGTGGTGACAGCCGGAATAGTGACATGTGGTGGAAAGTACGGAACATATTTCACTGCTCTCTGCCTCTCCAGGGAGCAGACGCCTGCAGTGGTGTTGTTTCTGCTGCCACCACATGCAGTCAAACACGATGGGAGGGCTAACTGGCTCCTACGGAGCCCAGTTATCTGCTCCAAGCACCCATGTCCAATGCAGGACCCCCCATAGTCCAGAGTCCTCAGATCTCAACGTCACTCTCTTTGTCGTTATCATGGTCACCATCATAAAACTCGTTGGCAGCTTCAGGCCTGGGGGAAAGAAAATCACCACCAGTGAGAAGAGCCCCAGCACCCGTGGGGCCAAAGAATGCCTCGGTCACACTGCCCAGCGTCAGAAGACGCCTTGCACCCAACACCCCATGAAATGTTATGTGAGGAGACCACACAGTTCTAGAGAGAGGCTCCCTGGACAAAACTAGTGACTCAGAAGTGACCTAGTGTCTGTTCTAGAAAACAGATGGTTTCCAGCATATCGCCTGCCCATCCTAGCAGGGACGGAAAGGGAAGCTCATTTCTCCAGAACAAGAGCTGGTACCTGCTGTAGTTTTCCTCAGAGCCTCTTTCCTCTGGATCAGGCTCATCGGTGCGATCGTAGCTGAGCAGGTCAGAAGGGACATCATGGATCTGCACGCTGGGAGCATGGTTCAGCATTTTCAGATTCTCAAATATTGTCTGCCTGATCTGATCCAAGTACTACATAGAAAAAAACAGAGAGGGACCACAACAGTGAGACCTGGCAGTCTGCACAGAGTCACAGTTACTAGCACTGCTACCTGCCTACATCTCCATGTGGTGGCCATGAGAAACAAACCTGTGCAAAAAGCTATTTAGCTGAGCAGAGGAGATGGAAGAGTTAATTTAATCGCTGAGACTTAAGCACATCGAAAAGAGCGAGACAGCCTAGCAAGGTTCTCAAATGCTACAAGACTTTCTGACATCCCAGAGGTAAGGCTCTGCTCGTTCTTAGTCAGCTTTCTGCTCTGCAACAGTTCCCTTGCCTGGGCTCCACCTGGTTTCACAGGATGGAGCATCAGCCACAGGGTTTTGGGAGCACATAGCTGAACACCGCAGCAGGGCTGCAGGCACTCACCTGCCTAGAGTTCTGATTTTCAATCCTTGTACTGACGTCAGGATGAAGGGTGAAGTCTGGAGCAAAGTATTCAAAGTACTCTGTGATGGAACAAGCAAGAGAATTACAGCACAGAGGCAAAGGGAGCCCGGCCACCCACTGCTCTGCTTTGCAGAGACGCGGAGCTCACTCTCCCACCACGCCAGGAGTGGCCAGACCTTAAAAAGCACAGCGATGTACAGCTCTGCAACCACAAGGAATTCATGAAACAGAGCGAGCAAAAGTAACGCTCAGGGCACTGAACAGGAAAGGACCGAAATTAAATGATGAATGACACAGTAAGGGTGTGTCTGCCCAGCAAAGCCTACACGTGGGAGGTAGAAGGAGACTAAGGCCATCTCTAAGATCAGAAAGTGCTGCCACTTTGGCCCTGGCCTTATCTCTGGTTAATGCAGAATAGAAGTGTTAATTCTTCAGTTGATATAACGAGTACTTTAGCTCAGCTAATGAAGAAAAAATGGAACTCCAACTTACCACTGTATGGGAGCTCTTCGCTAATTGCTTCCTCTACAAGCAACGATGTTTCGTAAGTCCTGAAAACATGAAATATGAAGAGCTCAGTTCAGAGAAAGCTACATAGTGCATGCAGGGGCAAAGCCCACAGCAACTGCTTAGCAAGTGACCTTCAACAAACAAAGAAGAGACTCACCAGCATCGCGCCACATTGCGGACTGTGTAACCGCCTCCCCCCAGTACCAGCAAGGGGATGTTGAAGCTCTTTACATACTCCACACACTCCCTAAAAGCCCCAAAGAAAAAGCGTCAGAGCTGTCAACCGTAGCACACATTCACGCGTCAGAAATGCCACCGCGCGCTCAAACACCACTGTGGCCGCTGTGATACACCCAGAGTGCAGGGCTTCCACCCAGGGAGCTGAGCAATGTACTGCTCTGCGAGACAACGCTCTGCAGCACCTCGTACAAAACCTCATTCTGAGACCCCCTCCTGTCAAACAAGAGTTCAAAAACCCCAAAAAACTGCTGGTGCTGCTGGGAGGCTGAGGTCAAAGCTCAGGATAGCAGAGGACTCCTTAGAGCCCTTCAGGTTAAAGGATCGTCTTTCAGCTAAGTGCTCTGCCCAAGCCCAGCTGTACTTACCCATGTCCTCTTATACTGAGGTTAAAACAACCCAAGCGGTCGCAACCCAGAGAATCAGCACCACACTGGGGAAGAGAAAAAGAACAACTGAGTTTTGGCTACAGAGGTATTGCTTTCCAGACACACAGCAGCATTCCCAGCCCTTGGCCACCCTCATTCACCAGAGGGCACAGAGGGAAGCTCAGCCAAGGACACACCAATCCTGAACAGCCTCTGAAAGGGATGGACACATGCACAGAGGTTTGCTTTCTTACCTGTAGTACTATGCAGGTGGGCTGATAGTAATCTACCACCTGGTTAATGACAGGTTGGAAGAGGTGTTTATAACCTTTGGAGAGAAAGGTAGATTAGTCGTGGCTCTGGAGCAGAAGGATCACAAATGTCTGGGCAAGGGGAAACAGCAGGAAACACCTACTTACTTTGGTCATCAATGCCATCTCGTAGAGGCACGTTGAGACAGTAGTAACGACCGCTCTCTGCACCAACTTCATACATGTCACCTGGCCAGGGAAAGATATGAGAGTCACAACAGCTCTGAGACTTCAGAGGTGTGGAAAGGCCAGATCTGGTCTGGATTTAGAATCCCAGAATGGTTCCGGCTGGAAGGGGCCTTAAAGATCATCGAGTTCCAACCCCCTGCTGTGGGCAGGGACACCTCCCACCAGCCCAGGTTGCTCAAGGCCTCATCCAGCCTTAATCTCTTAACCCAGCTAGGATCCCTCTGTCTTACAAATACCTATACTTCTGTTACATTTCTGTTCTATGTATATTTCTGTTACATTGTTATATGTGTGTATATATATATATATGTTACATATGTTATATGTATATTTCTGTTACAATTGCTTTTTCATGCCCTTTCTTCCATCATTTCTCCCCACAGCTCTCATTTTGTGATTTTACACTTCTATAATCCAGCAGAGCTTTCAAAGGATTCTGAAGCAAGACCATGGTCACACTATAAGGGAAAATACATACCTGTACCAGGAAAGAAATAGTTCCCATATTTATGAAATGACACTGTCATGACACGGTCCGTCAAGTAGAAGGCTTCCTGCACACCATCTCCGTGATGGATATCAATATCAATATACAGAACACGGGGGTGGTATCTATGGAATACAGGAAGAAAACCAGCATTACTGTCTGCCCCACACGCCTCGGTGTCACCTAGAGCTCTGAAAACCACCACCGACATCTACCTGCAAGCCCACTCGCCAGAAGAACTCACCTCTTCTACCCCAGGCATATCAAATGGCTTTAGAAATGTGGCATTTGTACACAGCCAAACACACCCCACCACTAAAACATGTTCTTCTGATGTGCTCGGAAAGAGATATTAGAATAAAAGGTTTTCACCTGGGGCCAGAAATATCTTGGAAAGTACATGATAAAGAGAACATATATTAACCACCTGGGGGTTCGAAAGTTGTGGGCTTTTGTTTCCTCTACAAACAATGTGCCATTAATTCATCTTTAAGAGTGCAAATAATTTTTTAACCCTATGTGGAAATGAAAGGCAAGCCAGACAAGGAGGTAGGAACACTTACTCCCTCCACGTGCCAAAGTACTGGCAGCACTATGTCCCAGCTGGTTAGCACCAAGAACTGGACTACATTTACTGGAGAAGCAGCCTGCTGGGTCACAGAGACAGAGGGTGAAGAAGGGGTGATCATCACAGGTAAATACATTGGGGTAACGGTCAAAGCTGATGTGCTGCAGAGCACTGGAGACACAGCCCTGAGCCATCCCTGCCTGCCAGCTCTAGAGCTGCCTGCTCAGCTGGAGAGAACTTCTCCAACTTTTCATAAGGGAACACTGTATCTGGTCAACTCCCAGAGAGTAGGGAGTCTGGCATCCATGGCAAAACCTAGGGGACTGGGGAGGACCTAAAAAACCAAGACAACATTGAAGCAGAGAGGAGGAACATGGTTTGTGCCATCGGCGCTGGAACCACAGCTTTCAGCATGTCTGCAGTGATCTGATCAAACCACTTGATGGTGCTGGCCCATGCTGCTTAGCAGAGCAGTACCCTGCCTCAGTCTCCCAAGAGAGACATCAACTATTTAAGACAGCCCGGATTATTCATCCTATAGACAAAAGACAGCAAGGATGAAAAAAGGGGATGGATGCACAGAGGCCTTGCACACTGGTAAAGGGAGAAAGGGACCTTCTAAGAGCAGAGGCACCACGGTACTCCCACGGTGGGAAGCAAAGCCAAGTATGCAGCCACCTGCTGCAGAAACGGTTCCTGAAAACAGGGAACAAAAGAACAGGGATGTGGTACAGCTTCCCATGAGGGCTGTATTTGAAGCCTCTGGCATACGGGACTCGTGAGACTAGAAAATGGGTGTGCAGAGATACCCAGTGAAGACCTGAGGTTCCAAACATGGAGTAAGGAACACTAGCAGAGAGAAAGGAGGTACAAGAAACCCCAATACATCCTGTAAATCTGACTTTGAGAGCAAGTAAGCTTGCCACCAGTCATGTAACTATTATCTGGTCAACCCCAAATCTTTTTTAATTCCATAATATCTTGTCTCAGAAGACAGGAGGGCATTGTAGAATAATAATAAAAAAAATAATCACAGATTGATCCAAGAAACAGGAGGTATTTCTGTAACTTCTCCTCTCACTCCGAGTTTATTTTTCATTTTCTAAAAAGAAAAAAAAAAATGGACTATTTTCTACTCAAAGCAAGCATCCTTTGATCATCCATGCGTTGCTCAAGTCCTGTTCTTAAGCCACTCAGGCAGATCAAGAAAGATTCAAGTCATTTAACTATCTCCAGTGAGCCAGAATTTGCATTTACCTACAAAAGGCTCACTGTGGCAAAAGCGCTGAGACTCGGGAGACCCTGAAATGAGGATTTCACAGATGGACGAGAAATGGAATTGAAGACCTCTCCTATCCCTTAAGCTGCATACTGCAAAACTGAAGTCAGATATCCCAATTCTCAAGCCCCCCTTTCTTATGCCTAAAGATGAGGCCAGGCCAAAAATCAAGTTGTTAGCCTTCCTGGACTCTAGAAAGGCAAATGTGGGAGAGAGGGAAACCACACACCAGCCAGGACAGTGCCATACTTGCCCCATGTCCTTACTTGAGCAGCTCCAGGATGCCGATAACTATGTCGTTGACATAACAGAACCCAGAAGCCTGGCAAGACGGAGAAAACCAAAGAGCATTAGAATGGGATTAACAAAGGGCCTGAGACTCAAAAAGATAGAGAAGTACACCGATTCATCCCATTACCTCAAACTTTTTTGCATGATGCAGGCCCCCTGCCCAGTTTATTGCAATGTCGCAGATCTAAGAAAGGAAAGATAAGCCAGTTAAAGGTGACAACATGGGACAACCACCTTACACTCACTTCCCCAGTGCAACCACTAGAACCCGCCCAGGCCTGTGGCCCACAGACAACCTCCTGGCCTTTTCTTCTCCTAGGAAGGCCCTTCCAAAGCTCCATACTGGTTAGCCCAGACAACGGTTTTGGTTACCTCATGTCCCTACTGCAACAGTTCCATGCTCTGCATTCCTCCTTAGACAAGAAAAGATCATCTCCTACCTCCACTGCTCCCCCTCCAGCCAGCTCCAGGCACATACAGTTTGTTCCTGCACTTGTTCTTGGCACTCACTAGACCCTTCTCAGGTCTCTGAAACAAACTTCCGCAGGTTTGTTTGATACCCCCCCAAGGGTCCTTCTTAAGGGTAGGGAGGCTTTGCAGAGGGA